CAAACAAACAAACAAACAAAACCTATTGAGGAGATATTTAAAATACCACTTCGATGAATAATCCGAGCCATCTCTACATAGGCAGTGCTACCGCCTGCCTGATATATTGCTATATGTTAATTTTTGCCTGTGCATATGCCATCCTTACTATCTTATTTGCATAGATGGGAATTTTGCAAAAGAAGAATCCATGTGATTATGATTGGTGAATTACACTCTTAAGAAATAAGCCACTCTTCCACGTAAAAAACACACGTAGTTGAATTTACAATCAACGAAGTCTCGAAGTTGAATTAAAGAAAATATGTTTACCATTAAACTTTTTATAATAATTTTGTATAAGTGGTACAATGAAAGATCTGAAAATTGCAAAACACGGGCTCCTCTCAACTAGGTGGTCATTTTGATCATATGTATTGGTGGCAATTCTTGTGGTGAGAAATGTACACCAAACGGCTTTAGAATATGAAACTAATGTTCGTAACAACAGTGTAACCATAAAGCTTTAGACTATAGATCTAATATTTGTAGCAACCATGTACACCAAAAGGCATTAGACTATACAACTAATGCTTGTAGCAACAATAATAACCAAACGCATATACATCATAAACTAATGTTTATATTAACAATGTTACCCGAAGCTTTAGATAAAAGTAATATTTATAACAAATTCGAATGTTTAATGAAACAAATTATGAACTTAATAAAAAAACCTCAAAGCATATGAGAAAAATCAAATAAAACCAATTACCTAACTTGGAATCATGTACATAACCTCATAGCACAAAACAAAAAATTAGTTAATAATTTTGCTTTTATTCACTTCAAAACTGAGCTAATTAAAAGTGAGAGATGTGTACCTATGATGAACTACATGTAAGTAGACTTAGGTAAAATATTGTGACTAATATAGTTTGGAGACGGCTTGAATGGGTAAATTTGTAGAAACATTATACATTTGTTTTCTTTGTTACCCATTCTTGTCATCCTCAGAATTTATAAGGTGGAAGTTGTTAAAAAAAAACAACAACAAAACATATATATGCAATGGGTTTAATCCTATTAGCAGCTTGTGAATATTTACACTGTTTATTGAACTGTGAATCGTCTTTGACTCAACATGTGTTTTTTAAATGTATGCACATTGGATTTATCATTTCTCTTTCTCCTTCGTTCTTGCTGCCCAGATTTTCACAAGAAAGCTAGCGACTGGCCAAACCATGCAATGCAGTTAAATAGGTGGCCTGAGAAAGTTGGTGAGAAAAACAATTTGAAAAGAAAAAAACGCTGAAAAGAAAAGATTCTTGGACATCCAATTCTGAAGGAGGTCATACATATTAATTCTGAAAATAAAATATTATATTTCAATTAGAAAATTAAATGAGGGGAGACATTCTGTATAAGCGTAGCTCAAAAATGACTAATCTAATAATGCATTCGCATGCAATCAAATAATTTACATTAGTATCATTTTCCTTATTACTATCAATTCCCACTAAAATTATGTTCCTTATAATTAACAATTCCCAAGTGTTATCAAGAAAAATCTTTGGACTACAGAATGACGCTAGATTTAAGCCACACATGAGTGAAAATACAAATTTTATGATTAAAAGGGTAACGTGTATGCGTGCATGGAAAGCTTTCTAAACTTCATTAAACTACGCAAAAATGAAATTAGAAGTAGGAAAGTACGGACGATGTCACTATACGCGTAAGGGAGGAGTGGATGTACACAGTACTAAGCATAGCAAAGGGAACGGTATTTCGTGAATGGATTTGTCATCTATAGTTATATCTTAGATAGCGGTGTATACGTGTTAAGGTTTTGTGTGTGAATTTCTTTATTTGTGTATAGAAACTTAGAGTATCAATACTGTCACTCTGAAGTTTTAATACTTGCCCATGATATCCAGGTTTTGAGCCAGATTTGTTGTCTTTTACTAAACAAGTTGATTGGTTTGTCATTTTTGATCAGACCATTCGACTCAAAGTGTCTTTTGTAATATAAGTGTTTGGTGGATGTAGCGTGTCGTGGAATAGATTTAATCTCGAAGTCACTCAGACGCCCAACATGACCATCAGATTAGTTCAGAACTCTACGTATCTAATCTTACACGTGGGTAGTCTAGGTAGTTCGCTTAACTGTTTTAATTACTTTAAGTAACAGCACTACCTTTACATTTCATAAAAGTTTTGCATTTAAATACAAAATACCACAACAACAACACGAATAAAATGTTTAGTACTCGAAACACGAGTTTTCCCCCTAGTAATCATTATTTGGTATTTAGCCTAAAACGTATTGTTTCTTTGAAGCCATTCTCGTTCATTTCAATGAAACTGTTCTAACTTACTAAAAGAAAGCTGTCTAAGCGATTTTCATGATCTATAGAAACGATTTGAATATCAAACTTCGGATAAAATTCAGTTTTATTTTACATTCGAGTGTTCTTGTTACTCGATGTTTCCAATTTTCTTACTAACCCTGGGAATTTCCAGCAGAAAAGACACTTTCGAAGTCGTTTTGATACTTTAAAGAATTGAAGACAGTAAAGAAGAAAAAAAGAACATTGAACACTTTCTATAAGAGTAAATCTTTGAAGTAAAATAAGATCCAACAATTTCTTTCTATTTCTAAGGGTTCTTTATGTTTCGTAAAATAGTCCAGGTGCTTTTATTCACATCAAAGTTTCATAAACTAGCAGTAAACCTTGAAGTCTACTTCTGAATTACTGCTATTGTTTCTGGTAGATAAAGTGTGAGCGAATGACGATTATGTTTAGTTTATTATGCTTAATTACAGAAAAAAAAGATAAATAAACGTTGTTGATAGTTTCAGTGCAAATTCATGAATTAGCCGAGTAAAATGTCTTGTATTAATATTATAAAATATAAATTTTCTAAGCTAAAGCAGTACTCATTTTATGTGTTTGTAATTAAACACAAAGCTACACAATGGGCTATCTGTGCTCTGCCTACCACGGGCATCGAAACTCGGTTTCTAGCGTTGTAAGTCCGCAGTCATACCGCTGTGCCACTGGGGGGCAGTACTTCTTTATAGAAGCAACAAGCAAAAAGCATCCGTACAGATTTATTTGTTAATGATAAACACATTAAAGTACTTTTAAAGAAATATAAAGCAAAATAATATTTTATTCATTTATATATTACTCGTTTTATTTATTTATAACTGCTTATCATGTTTATTATTACAAAGCTTATCTGTTTAAAAAAATAACTTATAAATGTAGTATCTTTCAGGAAGCTCATTACATGTATATACGTTTCATTTTGTTTAAGTAACACAAATTGTTTTCGTTAAAATGAAAAAATTAAGATCATTTTTACTGCAACGACTTTCTTTAAAATTTCTAAAATATTTTCTGTAGGAACGTAATTATGTATATACTCATAATGTAATTTCCTTTACTTCACGCATTTTCGCTATTTTTCTTTACTGTGATTTCATAGTGCATTTAAGCTCTGACAATCGAAGAAAGATCATTTCTTGATAGTCATCCAATATAATTCATGCCTTTTATAAACCTGTTGGGTAATATGACAGATCACTAGACACCAAAAATTAAAACACCGGTGTGAGGGCACAGATAAAATAGCTCATTATGTAGCTTTGCGCTTAACAACAAACAAATTATCTGAAGTCATTTGTACTTAACAACAAACAAGCAAATAACCTGATGTCATTTGTGCTTAACAACAAACAAAGTATATAAAGTCATGTGCCTTTAAAGTGGATGTTAGTCGCATCACTGAAACTCCAATGAAAAGATTCAAGTTTTTAATACAAAGATGTTCGAAACAAAAAGGTTAAATGTGAATATTGTCAAAATTATACATAATAAGTCAAATGGTTTGATCTTCTGATGTACAACACCAGTAGTGATAAGTGTTAATATGTTTTGTATATAAAGAAACGTTACATTTTAAACACAATGTTATATACAAACTATCAGTGTGCATTGTGTTATATACTTTGATCCAATTGAGAACAGAAAGATATAGAAATGAGTAGAAAGTAAAATAGTCTTTAGTTAACTTACTCTTATATTACCCAATTTGAATTTACTCGATTTAGCGTAATAAATTATGAGGGCTCTTTCTAGTACACAAAAGCTAGAATCAAGAATAGCAAATGCCTTATGTGAAAATCAGGCTTAAAAGTGTACTTTAGAAATTCGCTCAAACAATGTTTTTTTTTGTATGTTTTTATAGGAGAAAAACCAGCAGCTATTCAGCGGGATACAAGTGCATCGTTGTCGTCCTCAAGCAGTCATCATGATCGTTGTGTTACTTTTGTTGCCATTGTTTCATGGGCTCTTCTAAGGTGACATCTGTGCTACGTTTCAGCTATTTGTTTATTTCCCTTTTTGTCATGGCAGCCTACTGTTATATCGAGATATCTTTTAAAATTGGTGTACGAAGATCTTGTGGATGATATAGCCCCATTTATAAAAATGGTGATCTATGTATTAGATGTCTGAAAAAAAAATATGTAACAGTGCAGTGAACAATGAGTGGAGTTAAAAAAATATAATGTACACAGGGCTTTTTTTCTATGCTCGTGACTTTTCGAATATGATAAGGGTTGTAAATACTCATTCTTGTTTGTGTATAATGCTTAGTTGGTAAGCCCTAAAAGCGAGCACATCTAAAGGTATACATTAACGATAGTTGAGTGCACTAAAATATCTCGTATGTGTTTTGAAATTAAAGACATCAAACAATACAAACACAGCACAAGTGATGTAACTTGAAGGTGTTTTGCAATCATAAATTTATTAAATAAAAACTTGAATTATTACATGAAATATTTTATTGAGATAAAATTATTTTCCATGTAATACTGATGATAGTTCTGGAAATTGCACTGTAATCCAGTGATGTCTAAATATCTTCCAGAGCTTATCTCAAAGATTGAAAAAATAGTCATAAACTGTAAATAAAACCCTTCAATATATGGTAAGAGATATCACTTGACTAAATATATATTAATCTGAGAAACAAAATTATTCGTTTTAGTGTATTTAAAGATAGTTTCTTTAGGTTTTTTTCTTGTGAAGATATGATGTCGTTTAACGTGATGATAACTTGTATGATATTCGAGTAAATTTCACACACTGTTAAAAGAAGTACAGTAATTCACTACATTTCCACTGATAATTTCCATATTTTCGGCATGTATGAAGAAAGATCCTGTCTCAGACATCCTTTATTCCGAGACACTGAATGCTCAATCAAAGTTTATTAGAAAGGCAACTTGTAATGTATTAGTTTTACTTGAATATAAACAGTGATTTGGTACTGATGAAAATAGTGAATGTGTATTTCATTAACTAGGATTTTAACATTTTTTGACATAACACTTCATAATCATCTACAATACATAATCATTGTTGTAAAACCTAATTTAATTTTAACAGGTAAATAATCGCCTGACAGTTGGTATGGTCCTTTTTATTCAGATTAGGTAAATGAACTATAAATAAAAGTAAAAGAAAAAAAGAAAAAAAAAACACCGAAACCTTAATCTCCTCTGGTGTGATATAAACATATCAAAAATGTTTATCAATGAAGAAAATATTAAACCTAATTATATCTGTTCCCATATATAGTCCTGAAGTTTGTTATATCAAATATAAAAGTAAATACTTGATCATTATTCTACTTTTTTATCACACCTTTTTCTCAATTCAAATATTTAATTTAATATTTTTTCAATCATAAAAATTTTTGTATCGGCATAACAGACACTGAAAATTCTACTTTAATATTTTGAAATCACAATCGAAATACAAAATTAATGGTTTAAATTATAATGAGTAATAAAGTTTAACTCTTCTTCTTTTAAAGCTAATTTAACTTGATTAACTAAGTGAAATTGTCTTTGTAAAGCACAGATTTCTATTTCGTTTTCCAGATTTATCTTTAAATTTGTGTTATTGAAAGTTGACCAATATAAACGATTTTGTAAAAAACGGTTTTAACTAACACTGTAATACAGAGCTCTTATCAATGGTGTTTCACAAGCAAATGATACAAATATCAATGAAGAAAAGTAGAAATAGTTCAAAGTATGACTCTAATTGAAACACCCACTTTATTTACACCTTTATAGTTACACGCTTCTCTATCAGCATATAAAACATAAATACATATTACCACTATTTTCAATATCTAAAAATATTAATTTAATTTAAATGTATGAAGGAAACAACGTAGCCGTTATCTTCGATAGCTGTTCTGAAATTCTATAGGACATTGCGTTATTACAGTGAACATGATAATACAGTTTGTTTTGATAATAACAATTTAATGGAAATAACAGTGAACATGATAATACAGTTTGTTTTGATAATAACAATTTAATGGAAATAAATAACTGAATAGTACAGTCGTTCATCTTCGAATATTCCGAAGTCTACTTGTTTTACAGAGAAATTGTGTATTTTTCGAAAACTTTTTAATACTTTATATCATTATTGAAAGTAGTTCATGACTAACATAAAGAAATTAAATTTATTTAAAAGGATATACAATGTTTATGCTTATGAAAACCTCGTTTTGGTTATAATAATAATAATGTTTTTAAACCTCGTGTTTGCTTTTATATCTCCAGAGTCAGTAACTTGAACATCGTTTGATCCATGGCGGTACGTCTGCAGTCTAAAGGAAATTATTGCTAAGTTAGCAAGCAACCAACGAATCGTTAATCATCAAACTAAACCTTTTTTTCTGAACAGTAGTTAGTTATTTTATTTCTCAAAATGGTATTGGTAAGTACACTTACATTTAGCGTTGCAAATGAAATTGGTATTAAAAAGGAAAAAAGTATTAATTGATAAACAGACCTATTTTTAGTAACTATATATTTTTCTAAACTATTCGTTCCTCAGTGGCTCATTAGTAAATCTGAAACTTATAACGCTAGAAAACGGGTTTCGATACCCAATGTGAGCACAGCACATATAGCACATTTTATAGCTTTGTGCTCAACATCAATACAAAAGAGTAAATGATTATAAAACATTGTGATAAAAAAAGTAAATATTTTTGGACTGAGAATTGCACGTGACACACTTTGGTTAAAATTTGTTTCTGAATAAAGACGAAAACAAGAGTTTTATCTTTCACAGTTTAAAATCATTTCAAAATTGATTTTGCTGTTTTAGAGAAGCATTTTTAAGACCCTGCTTCTAACAAAGCACAGCGACCTTTCATCTACAAAATATATTAATAATGAACTTATTGAAAAAGGATTGAAAACAGTATATTTTATTTTTCTAACTTGCGGAGAATTCATCTCTGTTCCTTTTCATCTTACATTTGTCCTTTATATATTTTCAACAAATGTTTTATTGTTTAAAATAAATTTGTAAGATTTGTGAGGCAGCATACATGTTTTCTTTCTGTCATACTGGAAAGTTTGAAATAAATCATACTTATGCGAAAACCTACCCCAGGAATTTTCACACTTTCTTAAATACATGTACCACAAAGTATTTTTATACAATCTTATAAAAAAATCTGATCAATTAATGTAAAAAAAGGCTACAACAATGACGCATAACACTGCTCGACAAAATTGAACTTTCTCTCATAAAAGGTGTAAGCACACTTTTATAGATCAGTTTTGCACGCTGATTCCAAATCTGTTTTGGGTTTTCTTCTAGCACATCTAGTTATCGAAATATGACTGGTGTTAATTTCAGCACACTTTAGGTTACAACTTTATTCATTTTTCAGTATAATCCCCATAAATGTTACACACACCATACACTTGGTTAAAGTTATACAGTAAACACTTATGAAAAAACTTAAAATATACTTAAGGCAATAACCTTTCAAATTTGATCGGTCTCATCACGAAAACTTAACGTGCTAGAGGAAAACCAAAAAACAGATTTGAAATCAGCGTACCAAGAGCTATCTAGCCCACCTAGCATTATAGCTGATGAAAATGACTTGTTGGACAGTGTAATTGCTTGAAAAACAAAAGTTGAAAGTTTTAGAGTTAGTAAATGAAGTTGTCATTCAAGCAGTATTAAAACGTTCGCGAAATTATGATGAATAGGTGAAATATAAAATTCGTATTATATTGATATTTTATAAGGGAACTGTCCAACGTAATAAGTTGTACTATTCGAGTTATAGTGTGTATATTTCAGTTTGTTTGTTTTCTTTGCAATTTTCGCAAAAAACAACACAAAGAAACATTTATGAATAACCGTCCTCAATTTGGAACTGGTAGATTAGAAAGACAACAATAATACAACAGTGCCCACCGCCGATTTTTTGGCTACTCTTTTTTACTCATATAATGGGAGTTGTCTGTCATTCTTATAGCGAATCCGTGGTCTCAAAATGCGGATCACGTTTTTGCAGCAAGGGGACACGAACCAACAACCCTTGGATTTACGGTCCGAGAACGCTAACCATAGGGCCGTGCTCTGTCTTGTAGTTATTGAAACAGTCTATCAAAACAAATTGAGATATTTTGTTGGATTCATGAAAAACCTTAATAAGTAAACTAAACTAAACGAAGGATTTTCTACTTCTTTAGAGGAAACTGTTGTGCAAATCGACAAGAAGAGTTAATGTCTTATATTCCTGAAATATCTTGGAAAATGAAAGCAAATTGAAAAATTAAATTATTAAAAAAAATTTAAATATGCCTTCATATATTATAAAACATATTCATCTATTTTTTTAATTTTTCATTGTAAATTAATATCTGTTGAAAACCATAACAGTAAAATTTGTAAAACAGCAAGACGAGTTAATATTTAATTTTTCTGAAAATGTTTGAAAATAGAAACAATGTGAAAAATAGAAATACTCTTAAAACATAGAAACTTCATATATCATAAAACAAATCCACGTTTTTCCTTTCCTATTCTAGTACATCTCAAGGGAAAATCGAAATCTTGAACGCATACCAGTGAAACCTGTAATTTCGATTCTTGGATGTCTTTACTTTGGGAGTTGCGAGTAGCAAGTGCTTACATACATCCCATCACTTCATCATTTTTTGTTGTTGTTTCTAATATTTGGTATTTTACTTCCTATATATCAATATTAGCGAATAATTCGACTTTAGGTGTTTCTTAAATAAACACGCGCAATGTAAATAAATGTTTGTTATATCCACCTATCTTACCAAACATTTAGCTAAATATAGAACTATTTCATTATTATGATTTTCAAAATGATAAACTGGAATTGCTCACTTGAAATGCTTTTATGATGTATTTAAAATGATTTTACTTATATTCCTTTCGGGCATACCTTACCAGAAAAAAAAAGCGCGGACAATAATTGTAACATATTAGAGTGGCTAACAAAGTTTTATATTCACAATAAGAATCCTTCATCCATGTTTTATGACCAACTTAGAATCGAAAGAAAAATTATATTTGCCATTGTATGCCGTCAAGGAAATTATTATACTGTGAGTGTTCATTCTCTTCGTTTTGGTTTAAGTCATGTTCTCACAATAAGGAATTTAGTTAACTAGCATTGTGCTAAGCTCGAAAATCTGTTCCTTACGCTTAACTTCCTTCGACAAAACTATATTAATAAAATTGTATTTTTTCTGTTTTTTTATCTTTAGTTATAAAATTACCATTAAACATTATAAAAATTTAAACCAGTTGAGCTTATGAAAATCAAACTGATAACCGTAACATTAAACATTTTTTTGCTACAGTGTGTGGTAGGGATATTTTCTACCTAAACGCTATATTATGCGCCATATGGACTAAATGGACAATTCAAAGACCTCCTAGTGTTTAGCTATAACTTTCCATAATTTTGGAATACTCAGGGATGGCAGTTAATCTGTAGCAGCAGCTATCTGAAAAGTTTTGTCGGGCTTTGAATCGTACAACGGGTTAATTGCTATTTTATGATGCACCTACAGCTAAAAGTGTTAAATGTGTACAGTGTCATAGTCGTTTTAAACTTATTAATAGTTTGTTTGTTTTTTCACGAAACACGTTAGTTTTGAATAACGCAAATATTAGTCACAAAATAAAAGTTGTTTCGTTTTGTTTTCTGTACATGAAGGTGAATATTAGTGGATGGCTTATAAATGAGCACAGAAAAGCGCACGCTTTGAGGAAATATATAAACGAAAGTATAGGGTAATTCCATACGAGGATATTTGATTTCCCAACAGGTTAGTAGGGAACTTACACATTCGTGAGTCGTAAAAGTAGTGAGAAAAAATACAGTCTCTCAGATCACATACAAAACATCTACTGAAAATATTTTTAAGGCAGCCTTACAAAGGAAAAGAAATAT